AGCCGCCGGGCGGGCCCGCCTCGCGCACCTCAGCCGCCGCCAATGGGGAGCCCGGCCCGCGCGGGGCGGGGCCACATGACGTCCCTCCCCCTGAGGGGCGTGGTCGCAAGACACTCCTCCACATGGCGCGGGGAACGCGGGCAAGCACGACCCCGCATCTCAAGGGCTGGCCAATAGGGGGTGAGCTCAACTCGCGTGGGGCGGGGTCACAAGACTCCCCTCCCACGCGTGGGGCGGGGCCGCAGGACGCTCCTCCCCGGGGGCGGGGCGCGCGGCCGGGGCTGCGGAAGCAGTGCGGGTCCCTGGCGGTCTCCTCAAGCAGGGACCATCGCCCGCAGGCCGGCCGCGGCCCATCCAGGGTGTGGTAGGGGGCGGAGCCGGGGCCCAAGAGAGCTCGGCGGATCCGAACGGCGCCCACGGCTCGGGCCCGCCGGGCTCGCTCTCCGCTCGCGCAGTCGCTCTCAGACCCGGAGCTGTCCGCCCGGTGGTTCTGAACTCCGTGCGGCCGGCAGTGCAGTGTGGGGATCCCCCGCAGCCACGAGCCCCACCCCCTCCCGCGCCTTCCCGCGCCAGTCAGTGTCTGCGATGGGAGCCATTCCCGAGCGCGCCCGGAGCGAGGCCGTCCTGCTCGCGACGCAGCCCCTATCGCCGCGGCCACGCGGGTCCGCACAGCCGGTTCCCGGGTCCCGGCCCGCGGAGCAGCCCGGGGTCCGCGCGGCGCTGCAGCCGGACCCGTCAGAAGGAGCCCGGCCAGCGAAGCTGAAAGACAGAGAGTCCGACTCGGGCTCGAGCCAGTCCTCAGTGAACACCGAGGCAGGCCCGGTCCTGCAGGGCCGCACGTTTTCTCCCGCAAACAATGAAATGGGGATCGGACAGCGTTGGAGGGACAGGCCGTGCGGGGTGGTTACCAGCTCAACAGGCCACGGCTGCAGCGCGAGGTGTGGCACGATGGCCTAGCGTCACCTAGGAAACCACAGGCTACGCCCCCCGCGCCACCGAGGTCGCCCCGCCCCGAACGTGCACCAACGCGGCGCTACCCACCTCCCCCTGCCCCCCCCCACACACGCCGAGCCCGAGGCCTGCCCCGCACGCCGCAGGCCTCCTCGCAGAGAACTGCCTGCCACAAAGCACATGGGCTGGGAGGTCAAAACCGCCACCCCACATTTGACCGGTAAAAACTCAACGACTGTTTAGAGACCAGTCTTTGTTCGGCCCTCTGCTCTGTGTAAACAAGCAGCTCCAAACCAGAAGAGCACGTAGCCAAGGACACATGGTCTGTTTCTGGTTGTGAAGAGAAAGAGTACGAAACGATTAAAAAATACTCGTTCTCTGGATTCACTCTCCTTGGTGCTACCCTTATGATTCCCCGTTGATGATTTTTAATAATAACATTATGTGCCGATAATTACAGAATCCATACTACACTGAGACCTCTTAGCTTTGAGTCATTGGAAAACACCTTCCAAATAACTTGATATATAATTACTAAGTAATCTTTAAAAAAAAAAGTCTTATTGAGCTTTTAGCGAAGAGTTTTCCCAAAGAGCTCCAAGATAGTAAAAGCAACCCATCTGTGTAGACAACTCCTCAAGTTTTGGGGGTCCCTGAGTTAGGCAACAGGTTAATTTCCACTTCCAGTGTTAGCCTCCACGTGTGGCATAATACACCCTCCTTTTATGGATCCCAAAGAAAGAAAAAAAAAGACTGCCATAGAAAAATATACTACAATGTTTTTATTTCACTCCCAATTTTAATTTAAATTTTGAAAAAATGGTGATAACTATTTGGACATATTTTATAATGCATCATCCTAATGCATACATAAAGATAAAAACATAAGTGAAAATAATTGACTAATGTGTTCCTAATGCCACAGATTTTCACTGTCCTTACTTGTTATCTAACTCGGTTGTTGAGGAAGCCCTGGTATCTCCCACAGAAACCACTCAGAGCTCCCCCTCTCCAAGCTGCTGCCCCACCACTCTTCTGCTTGGCTTCATGCTGGTTTTGTGTTGGTTTTGTTCAGTTTTGCCTTATCTAAGTGTTAGGAAAATGGAGGAGAACAGAGAAGGAATAGGCTAGACTCGAATCTCAACAGGCTAGGACTGTTTATTGCCAGTGAATAGCACAGACCTTCCCACGTGTTTGGAGGTTGGCAAGGGACTGGATTTGGGGGCTGGGTTTATATGGGTTGTAACAAGGAAGCAGAAAATAAAAAATGGGTTATGATCTCTTGGGGGCCACGGGCAGAATCCTTGGCCAGTCCCTGAGTAGAATGCTCTGCCTGGGCTGAGGGTGTTTTCAGCTAAGCCAAGGTCAGAATGAACTTCCTGCAGAGGAGCATGTGAGCTCGCACCTGGTGTTGTGCTTCACCTGGGAGAATAAGAAGGGAGTCAATCCTTCATAATCCATCTTTAGATACATGAAAAGAAGGGAGAGGCAGGGCCTTCATATAGGGTCTTTGGATACATAGAAAGAATCGGCTGAGGGCTGGGAAGGTGGCTCAGTGGTAGAGCGCTTGCCTTGCATGCTCGAGTCCCTGGGTTCAATTCCTCAGGACCACATAAGCAAAAAATAAAAAGCTGGAAGTGGCGCTGTGGCTTAAATGGTAGAGTGCTAGCCTTGAGCTGAAGAGCTGAGGGACAGCGCCCAGGCCCAGAGTTCAGGCCCCACGACCGGACAAAAAAAAAAAAGAATTGGCTGAAAGGGAAGCCACATGGAGTTGTAAGAACAAAGCAGATTCCCATTATTCGAAACCCTGGAGTATAAAAAGTGGAGGGACATTGTGGTCTTTTCTGGCTACTTGCTGCTGACATGGGGGCATTAGGGAGTCACTGGGGCTGGGGTCTTCAGGGTTCAGGTCTGTGCTGGGCAGGGCAGGGCAGTGTAAGTGAGGCCTCTGGTTGCCTGCAGTAATAGGATGTCCTTGGTTTGCTCCCAGGTGGTGTCCTGAGTGAGGGCTGCTAATCTGCTAAAGAGAAACTTTTGAAGAAGGTAAGACCAGCCAAAAGGCTGACAAGGTGGCAGGACTGGTTAAAACGAATGACAGGAAAATCCGCCTTGAGCACAAGCCATTTGGAGCATGAGCCCATAACCAGTCAGAAGCCAGGGCTAGATTGGAGTGCTTAAGGGCCTGGTGAGAGGCTTTGATCATTTCCTGTCAATAGCAGGTAACTAAGACAAGAGTGTAAGTTCCTGTCCAGTTAGAAGGTAGATATGTATGGGCATTAGATGGGCAAGTTTATTAACTATTTTCTTTTGCTTTCCCAGCTCTGGTTAATTTTGAAAGGGCAAGCACAACGTGATTTCATTTAGGACATGACACCATCCCCTCTGACTCCAGGACTAGCTTTGTCCTGGGTGTCTAGGAGCTCATTGCTGCACTGGCTTGTCCCAACTGGCACCTCTTTCGTCAGTCATGGGATTTGTACTCAAAGCATGGACACTGTCCCTGAGCACTTCTGCTCAAGGCTAGTGCTCTACCACTTTGAACCACAGTGCCACTTCCAGAATTCTGCCACAGCACCATTTCTAGAATTCTGCTGGTGATTTAGAGAGTCTCAGAGAGGGATTTTTCTGCCCAGGCTGGCACCCCTTACTCCTAATTGAAGCAACAAGGAGATCAAATCAAAATAGCATTGTTCTTAATTGCATATAACACTTTAGGATACTAATTGAGGTTAAGACATTGTAGGTATCACTAGGTCTTTGTAATTACAACGAAGAATATAGGAGTTGGTGTCCTTTAGGCTTTATATCCAAGACAACATACAAATTAAACAAGGAAAAATGGCATTTGAGGTAAAAGGTATTCATTTGAAGGATGTTGACATAAACAAACACATAAGTGAACTTTGGTTTACACAAACAATTACTATCATAGATGGACATAAAGAATGAGATGCTAGTTTTTTAATTAGCATACTAATTAACTCATAAGTTCTCTTTCAAGACATATTCATACCTTCTGCTACATACTTCTGGGGGTTTTCTTCCTGCTTTGGAACAAACAAACAATACTTACTTTCCAAATCCTTTCTTGTCCAAAGAAAACCATTTTTTGTTTCCTCAATTCCTTTTCCAAGGCTTTCTTTACTAACTTTCCTTTTTTTTTTTTTACATTTCTTTACTGGTTTTTCCTTAATTTGTGTTTTGGATTAACTCTTAGACACCTTTGTTTGCACCCAAATCTGATTAGGTTTGAGTTTAAAACTGTCTCCTTTTTTTCCCTTTAGCTTGTGGAGCCAGGTTATCTCAGAACTGCCCCACGCTAGTTCACTGTGACTCCAGTCAGGCTTCAGGGCAGAGCAGGTTGCTAGATTTTAGGCTCACATCAGTTTCCATTGATAAAGATTTGCCCTTTTAACGAGCAGCACACTTCACAATTAACTCCTTTAACACAAGGTTCATATTAGTTACAATTTCAGTCAAAAAACAAACAATTTTTACACTATGGTGACTGTTTCCATGTAGCACAATGAGGTTACTTTGAATATGTTCGTACACACACACTTGTGCACAAGAGTTTTAAGGCATGCTTAAGTTTTTTTAAAAAAGTGAAAATCGGCAGGCTGATCCTCAGATCTCAGCCTCCTAAATAGCTAGGATTACAGGCGTGAGCCACTAGCATCAGACTCTTTCTATAATTTTTATCTTTGTGTTTGAGATAGAGCCTTACCATGGTGCCTGGCTTTTAGCCTGGGCTGGCCTTGAAGCTGAATCCTCCCAGTTTCTACCTCTATACCTCCACCATACCAGCACCCTAGTCTGCATTCTTATGGTATCCACCTTTTATTTTTTGATTGTCAACTGCACTCACTCCACTCTTATTTTGAGGCATTCAGCAGCACCTAAACCATAGGGCGGTGCATGGGGGCACTGCCCGTTGGGTTTCGTAATGCCCTGTGTGCAAGGCTGTTGGCACATTTGTCTTCAGCTCTGCTCTGCTCAGGAGGAACCTTCCTGCAAATCATCAGTATTAATTGTTGTTCAGGGACCAGTTAAGCTTCAGGAGTCCTACACAGTTTACTGTCATCTGTATTTCCTTCAGAAATCCTACAGCATAGCCATTCACTAGGAAAAAGGAAGGAAGGAGGGGACGGTTAGAGGAACCCCACAGAAGGATTTCTGAGCCCATGACATGTCGTCAGTGATGGCATCTTCTGGTGCCTGAGCATGGGAATGTGCCTTGGAGCCCCTGGTAATCACTATAGCTCCTGGCATGGGTCAGTTGGGAAACAACCCTGCTTCCCATAACTGCTGTCCAATGTAGTTAGTATTCTCCCCCTGGGAATGCCACTTAAGGAAAAGACAGACAAGTGACAGAAAGGTCTCACATGGGAGAGAGACTAGATCATCTGTATGACAGAAACTCTGGCCTCTTCCAAGAGTGCTCACATCTCTGCAGCCTGCCGTTCTCTTTTCTGCCCTGGGATCAGAGGACTCCTCTCCTCCTCCTCCTTCACACTCCAGGATCTTCTAAGGACTCTTTATTTGGCCCAAAAAGACTAACCTGAAGGCTGAAGCCAGAGGCCACAGAAACCTATTTGCCATGTGTGCCATTCACCAAAACACAGGGCAGATCAATACTTTAATAGTTACGGTTTATATTCATGTATGCAAACATAATGCAAATCTATGCAAATACTGAATCAACCTATATATGTAAAGATACTATATAAAGAAATTTAATGCACTTGTATTCACCACAAGATCTGCCACTCCCTCCCTGTGAAGAGGGATGGCTTTTGCAGATTTGGGAACATCCCTTCCCCAAATGGAAGGTGGGCCTTGCACTGTTTCCTGGACCCACC